TTGTGTGTGGGGTTGGTATCTATACACGTAACACTGTTACTGACAAGCACATGCACATGAATGCATGCATTATTATGCTTGGTACAAAGGTCTTAGCCATCCCTTGATGCGGATGGAGTGCTATGTATAATATAATAAAATAGATTAATATATGTATGTGGTATTATTGGAGGTGATAAATACATTGCATTTCAATTGTTATTATTATTATTTTTTTGGAGTATCGACCTTATAATATACGTATCATTTAAGTTAGAAGTACGGTTCGAGAGCGTTACATTAATAACTTATCTCCCGAATCCCTGCCAACGCTGTTATACCTTTAGGGATATTTGCATTTCACTTTTAGGTTCCTTTTGATTAAATGTAAAATATTTTTTGATTTTTTGAATATATATACATATATATTATATTTACTTGTGTTTAGTTGTCAAAAAATATTTAAAAAAGAAAAAAAAAAAATTAAAATCTGACAAAAATAATTTATCCATCAATTTCGACAATTTATTTAACACGTCCCACCCGATGGATTCGACCTAGACCCTTACCAAACGCAAAAAAATAAAAATAAATATTTTACCTGAAAAAAAAAAAATTTAAGTCGAAATGTCATTATTATTCTTGATTCAAATTATGAAAACCAAATATAAGGAGCATTTACTTAATTTAATTTATATATAAAAAAATAAGTCCATTTAATTATATAAAGAATAATGGTGCTTTAGCCGGAAATTAACAAAAAAAAAAAAAAAAAAGGGCCCTGAATGAATGGGGAGTTGAACACTGCCCATCTGGTTGATCCCGCTCCGACATTAAACGAATGAGGAGTGTTCGGCTCCCAATTCAGTGCATTTCTTTTTTTGAGTGCTAAACATTTTTTTTGTCTTAGGGGATTTGGTATGAATAATCATTTTTAGCTCTTTACATTTGTGAATACAGGGATTGACTTGTTACTATATATATATATATTTATAAAGTTTTTATAATTTAAGTGAATTAGTTCTGTAAATCATAAAAAAGATAACCATGGTTTTGAGAGAGTACCTACTCGACATAGAATGATAGCTTTCATGCTAGCTTTTAAAAAGTTTGCACATGGGTAGACACTCTTATATTTGGACTCCCTACTTCATATAGTTCATATTACATCAATATTTTAGTTGTTGCTGGAATATGATATCTATTACATGGATTAACAAAATTTGTGTGCTAGAAAAAATATATGAAAAGAAGTTCATAGCAAAAAAACATATATGGTACTATATAGGGATATTCTTCTTTTGATATACATCTCACAAAGTTGAGTAGTTTTGATGTTTTTTTGGCTCAATAATAATTGAGATAGCTAATTTTAAAAATACATAATTAATTAAATAAAAGATAAATTATACGAACTTTTTTTATGGTATGCCAAAATTACAGGCACCTTCCTTATGGTTTGAAAAAAATGACTTGGACCTCTCATAAAAAAGAAATTAATCTATACAGACTTTTCTTATGTTACGATCAATGCAAGTCGATGACGGATTTTACTGATGTCATGGACTGAATAAATTAGAATTCTCATATTACCTTTCGTCCATCTTCTCTTTCTCAGATATACATATGGTATTACAGTTATTTATCATAACAACTTGAGGGCATTTCAATAAATTAGACAAATCTGTTAGTGCCTTTAACGGTCTAATACTAAAAAGAAAGGTCTGTATAAATTAATTTAATTTTAAGAAAAATTTGAATAATTTCTCAAACGACAAGAGAAATTTCTATATTTATGTCAAATTATAAAAGAGATTAATATAATTTATACTCTTTTATATATATATATATATATATATATATATTTGAACTCAAAACATCTGGAGAGGGGCCTTTGAACCCACCCTTAAATAAATACTTGTGGGAGCTATAGTGTAAAACCCATGGTTGGTGGGGACAATCAAAAATAGATTGTCTGATCATCAAACTGTCCTACTATATATGAAAGATTTTTTTGTTAGGATCCAATAATTCTTTTGGAGGCATTTGACGGAAAAGCCAGGGCAAGTCAAAATCTGCATGCTATCTAGAACTAGGAGGAAGTATTTCATTACAAATTATTGTGTGGTTATTAATTTATGTTCTATCCTGAAAAAAACAAATAATTATAATAATAATTTATGTTCTAGTTTTTATTGTTTATCATCATCATAAAGAAAAGCATATTGTGGCCCATTGACCAATTGAGAAGCAATTATGGAAGAACAACTCTTTTCCGAGCTCACTCCATGTGAGATGGGATCCACTACATTTCATATATATATATATATATGGCATTATTTTAAAACTCTAATTTTACTTGCTTCTCAAATCTAATTCCGGATCTTTTGTTGTATTGTTGAAACAGGTGTGTTAAAATTTAAGAAAATAAATATAAACACGTTGAAAAACACTATTACACTAAGACGTCACAGTAACTGAAGATTCACTTTCTCAAATTTAGCAAGACTTCATCATATCTACCATCTTTGACTAATGAAAAACTATTAGAGTTCAATTCCATCCGTTACTTTTACATCCCTCTAATTCATTAAATTTAAAATTTTAAACCAAAAAAAAAAAAGGGTCATTAATTATTAAGACTTGAGACTTTGTTTGAATATACAGGAAATAAAAGAAAGAAATGATAGCATTAAGGAAAAAAATCACATAATTTCTTGTATTATCATTTTGCCCCCAAATTAGTATAAAATGACAAAAATGCCCTTATAAGTTAATGGTTAAATTTAAAACTTATAATATTATTGTAAAATTACAAAACTACCCCTGAGTTAGTATGGAAGCTCAATGGAAAAAGCTAACTGTTCTTTGCCTTCTTTTTTCCATCCATAACCTAAGCACCCACCAACTCTGTGTCACCCATTGTTTTGAGAATGAAGATTGAGGGGTAGTTTTGTAATTTTACTATAATATTATAAGTTTTAACTTTAACAATTAACTTATAAGGGCAGTTTTGTCATTTAATATCGATTTAGACGCAACTTGATGAGTTTTGTCAGTTCAGGAGTATTTAATTTTGGTGAGAGCTTTTTAAACGAAAATGATAGTAGTGTAAGGGGGTTATGTGATTTTTCTCCTAGTATTAATTATGAGGAAAAAAAAAGAAGAAATGAAAAAATATAATAATTTCTATTAATATTTGGATAGATGGGAAAGGAAAGAAAAGAAAAAATAAAATGATAATATACTTGTTTGACTAAGAAAGAGGGAAGAAAAGAAAGGGAAAATGTAACAGCTAAATTATTATTATATCCTATTAAATAGATGTGACATGAGTGTAATAACCGTTTTTTCATTTTAATTGTTATGGATAGTTTCAAAATTATAAAAGTATAACTTATCTTCTCATTTTTTTTGAAGGAATAGAATATTCCCTCCCTATCCATCCCTATCATTTTCTTTTCCACACTTTAATCCATCCAAACAGAATCATCCCTATTCTTTCCCTCAATTCCTCCAAATCTCTCCATTTCTTTCACTCAATTCCTCCAAATCTCTCCATCCAAACGAAGCGCGAATGATTTAATGGTTCTATAATAATTTGGGGGCTAAAATGAATGCCAGTTGGATAAAATAATAGTTCAGCCAAACCGACCGGTTCAGACAAGTTGAGAATCCGCCTTTTGCCTTGGAAGTGAAAGCATCTTATCAGTCAAAGCCATCAAGCCTTCTTAGTATAGCAAGCCTATTATTGTAAATGAGATACTTTTATATAACCAATTATAAAATTCTTCAATTAGTAATGAAAACAAAATGGACCCGCGACTCACACCTCATGGAAAAGACTAAGTAGAACTTTCACCATCAGTCCACAACAAGGTTGTGACTCTTTGCACGTACAATTATTAGATTAATTTAAACACTACAATATATATTTGCTTGTATATCTAGCCAACACCGAATTGATATTTTAAAATAAAAAATAAAAAAATAATAATAATTCAAACTTCGAATTAGTGGCACCATACTCATAGCTCTTTCTATCAGCAAATATTTGAATTGTAACCGAAGTCCTTTAGCCTCTAACTTAATGGTACGATTTATTTTCTGGAAGTTCGAGTTTGATTTCGGATATGTTATATATATATATATATATATATATATATATATATATAACACCAGTAATGTATATAATCAACGTGTTTATATTTTTGACAACAACCAAATGCAGTTCCTTCATAATGGGAGTTAATTTTTTTTTTTTTCAAAAAAAAAAAACAGAAATATAACAATCAACTGCAAAATGTTAGAAAAAAAATTATTACATGCTTATGGTATTCCCACCAATCACAATTCAATACGAAAGCGAATTTTTTTTTGAATAAAATCAACATATATTTTTTTATGGTGAATCTCTAAAACTTTAGTGTCTTATGAGCATTAAGTCCTCTCGAGTTTGAGCTTTACTCGATTCACATAGAGAGATTGCTTGCACGCAAGAACGGATCTATGCAATGCCTATGCATGGATCTAAGAGTGGCTTAGCGGGGGCAATTGCCCCCACTGATTTTTATTTTTTATTACCATTATAATTTAGTATTTTTCTCATTTTGATATATATGCTTATAAAAAATTACTATCGGCCCCACTAAAATTTTTAAAAATTTTCACAATTGTCCCCTTCCTTGGCAGTGCCACCCCGATTTTTTTTTATCATTATTCCACTATTTTTGTTATTTTGATATATATACTTATGAAATATTACCCTTGTCCTCCTGAAATTATTAAAAAATTTATTATGAGTATCTGAGTTCGCCTATGCTTTCACGGGTCTCGTGAAAATAATCGGGACAAAACCCCGGTTTAATACCTAAGTTATAGAAAATAATAATAATTTATAATTGGCGGGATCATGTTGTCCCGGACCATAGCCCCCATAATGGAGGAGACTTTTAGAGGTCACATGCAGTGAGCTTAGCAGCTCCCACTTCTATATAAACCTCTCAAGCTACAGAATTTTAAGTATAGAACTTAAGCCTTAGCCTACCATTAATACTTTCTATCACCATCCCCAAACTCTTACACAAAAATGGGGTCCGTTGCAACTGAGAAGCCTCATGCCATATGCATCCCATTCCCAGCACAAGGCCATGTCAACCCTATGATGCAACTAACGAAGCTTCTTTACTCAAGAGGCTTCGATATCACCTTTGTCAACACAGAATTCAACTACAAACGCCTCCTCAAATCCAAGGGTCCTGACGCTGTCAAGGACTCCCCCGGTTATCGATTCAGAACCATCCCCGACGGAGTCCCACCCTCGAATCCTGATGCCACCCAGAGTGTCACCGAGCTCTTGTACTACACTACGAAACACAGTGTGGTTCCCTTGAGGGAACTCATACAAGAGCTCAATTCCATGGAGGATTCGCCTCCGGTGAGTCTCGTCATTTCGGATGGGCTTATGTGCTTTGCCATTCAGGTTGCTAGAGAGCTTGGCATTCCAGAAGCTCAGTTCTGGACTGCCTCTGCCTGTGGCTACTTGGGCTATCTTCAGTTTGGAGAGCTTGTCAAGAAAGGCATTTTCCCACTAAAAGGTTTATTAATATGCTTTTACTATCATTAATTTTCTAACCTTTGTGTGTGTGTGTGAGAGTGGACAGATTAAACTCTAAATTGCAAATTAAAGATTCATGTTTTCTGTTAGAAAAATGATACTCATCATGGGAAAACAGAAGAAGAAGCTGTATTTAGGTTCATCTTATCATATAAATTATGAATATTGGAAGGAGATCTATTAGATTAGAGATCCCATTAAATTTTCATATAGTTTTACAGTTTTTTTTTATTTTTTGTTTTCATATGCTAATAACCCTCTCAAATCTAGAGAGAGAGAAGAGAAACACATCTATGCCAATCCTCTCAAACTCTCCTTCTCCAGCAACTCCTCTTTCCTCAAACTCTCAAATCACACCGTCAAAATCACTGTAAAAAGAATAAAGTCAAAATCCACTTTTCTGTTCATTTTCTTTATAAATCATCAGTTCTCAATGTAATTTCCTTTCTAACTTTGATTTCTTCCTCTATTTTACTTATTTATTTTTTAATTTCCTTTCTAAGTTCTCAATGTAATTTCCTTTCTAAGTTCTTAATATAATTTCCTTTCTAACTTTGATTTCCCCCTCTATTTATTTCTATTTTATTTATTTATTTTAATGTAACTTTTTATTTATTAAAATACTGAAATTTCACAATTATTAAAATAAATTTACTAAACAAATAAAATTGCCATTTAAACCAACACTAATAAATATTACAGTCTTTGATTCTCTCTCACTATCACTGCTAAATTCAAGATCTTCACAGTATATAGATATATAAAAATAAGTGAGTAAAATAGAGGGGAAAATCAAAGTTAGAAAGGAAATTACATTGAGAACTGATGATTTATAAAGAAAATGAACAGAAAAGTGAATTTTGACTTCATTCTTCTTACAGTGTGTGTTTTGGAAGTTTGAGGAAAGAGAAGCAGCCGGATAAGGAGAGTTTGAGAGGATTGGCATAAATGTGTAGTAGCATAATTTCATAACAATAATATAAGGGTATTTTGAGAATAAAAAAAATGATGTATAGTAATTTTTCATGTCCACGTCAAACTTTCATAAAATTCCATTAATTTGGAAAACTGGATTTTGACTTCATTCTTTTGTCTTTTGACTCCCAAAACTCCATTTTTATGGAATTATCCCATAAAAGAATGATATTACTTTCCTTGCTTTTACAAATTACGGATCATATCACACGCGCACACACAACTTGAAAGGGAGGAGTTCAAGTCAATGTGTAGATCACTATTCCCCACTGCCTCTGTCCCTAAATAGAAGTCCATGTTTAGAAATTAGAGTTTTTAAGAAGACATGCCATTAATGCTTTGTCTCTTTTTAAAATTACTAAATTGTCTTTTTTAATTTAAATATATATAGTTACAAAGTTTGAAATTTTTTAAAAAGATAAATGACAATGGTAGAAATATAATGAAAAGATACTTTGACTTTTTAAAGAGGTCAACTAATTTGTGACATGTAAAAAGAGAAAAATAGACTACTAATTAGTGACGGAAGGAGTAGCATTATACAACAGTTTAGTTGGTTGAGCTTCCAGATCTCGGAATGGGTGTACTCGTCTACTCCTCTCATAATTTGTCAAAAAAATAAAAATGAGAATGAAAAATGAAATTGGAGAGGGACAGGTCACAAGAAATTGATGTTACGTAGATACCAAAAATATCAAAAGACACTGATCACTACAACATCATATTCATTTGGACACATTTGAAAGTGGCCTACTAATTTGCCACATAAGCATCAAAATCATTTGGGATTTTTCTAGGAGCAAGTTAAGGTCAATTTGTTAACAGACGACGAACAGCTGTGAGAAATTAATGGGACCACTGAATTGATGTCCTGTGCAAATTTGCCACATAAGCCCTAACATTTCTAAATATTGTCCAATTCTTTTTTTATATCTATATTAATTATTAATCTTATGAAATGCCAAATTTTTTAATTGATAGAATTCCTAAATGTTAGTATTTTTTTTATATTTTTTTTCCATTTTTTTTTTTTAAAACTTCACACTTAGATTTTCTTTTAAATTTTGTTGGTAAGCACATTTTTTTTTTTTTCCTTCTAATTTACTAAATATATTTTCAATGTTTACCATGCATTTTTATTTTTTACTTCAAACTTAGATTTTCTTTTTAAGTTACTACATATATTTTCAATGTTTGTTTGTAGCTAGCTTTCGTATGATGGCAACTAATATCTAAAATTAATTATTTGTTATTGTAAATCTTTGTGACATAGACAATTCTCTTTTATTTTATGTATTTATGTCTTAGCATTTTATTTAACCAAAACATGGCATGTTGAGAATACTAGCAAGTTCAATTTTTTCTATAGCTTTCTTTGTGTTTATAAATATATATTAAATTCAATCCAAATATGTGAGTAGCATGTCCATCTATGAGAATCATAATCGGTAGCATTGAAAAGTGGAAATAACCATTCCACGTGGAGTTGGGTGGGATCTCGTGTATGAGAACCACACACTATATCGACAATATCGAAAGGTGGAGATGACTCTCTCGAGTGTAGTGGGGTGGGGTCTAGTATATGAAAACCACGTACTATATAGGCACCATCGAAAGGTGGAGATGACCATCCCGCGTGGAGTGGGGTGGGGTCTAGTGTAATTACGTGGACCACATCTCATATGGGAAGATCTTCACCTTTTACGGGATATGATCCTCTCTCGTATTTGACCACCTCTTTTGACGAGGGTTCAAGCCCTAAGCTAACAAATCAAATGTATATGTTGTTTATTTGCTATAAAATGATCAAATATTACAATTATTAACTTCTTGAATATGAATCATATGAAGGTTGAATGCAAACTTAATATCACACGAATTATGATGATAGTAGGACTTAAAACTATGACATCTTCAAGTATTACTTTTTCTACTTTACAAGTACATAAATCTTTTGAGAGATGTATAACCAACCATTTTATTGGTTTAATTTGCAGATGAGAAAGACATCACCAATGGCCATCTAAACACTCCCATAGATTGGATACCAGGAATGCCACACATGAGGCTCAAGGACATGCCAAGCTTTGTCAGGAGCACGAATCCCGACGACATCGCCTTCAACAGATGGTTGGAAGAGGGATTGGACAATTTGAAATGCGACGCGTTTATCTTCAACACATTCGATGAATTTGAAGAGGAGGTTTTGGCTGCAATTTCATCCATAAAGCCAAACATCTACAATGTTGGCCCTCTCGCATTGCTCTCCCAAAGCTTGCCTAAGAATGAAGTGAACTCCAGAGAGTCCAGCCTCTGGAAAGACAACACTCAATGCCTTGATTGGCTTCACAAGCAAAAGCCCAATTCAGTGGTTTATGTCAACTTTGGCAGCATTGCTGTCATGACAGAGGACAACTTGAAAGAATTCGCGTGGGGGCTCGCGAATAGTGGACATCCATTCTTGTGGATTGTCCGGCCTGACCTTGTGATGGGCCATTCAGCAACCTTGCCGGAAGGGTTTGTGGAGGAGACTAAAGGGAGAGGTTTGATTGAGACTTGGTGTCCACAGACTAAAGTGCTGGCACACCCTTCTTTCGGAGTATTTCTAACGCATAGTGGGTGGAATTCGACTGTGGAAGGGATCTGTGGAGGGCAGCCTATGATCTGCTGGCCATTTTTCGCAGAGCAGCAAGTGAATTGTAGGTATGTTTGCACCACATGGGGGATAGGCATGGAGATTGATAGTGTTGTGAAGAGAGAACAAGTTGAAAGGCTTGTGAGGGAAATGATAGAAGGAGAGGAAGGGAAAAAGAAGAGGGAAAAGGCCGAGGATTGGGAAAAGAAAGCTAAACAGTCTGTCCTTGAAGGAGGATCATCCTACAACGCTTTCAATCGGCTTGTGGATAACCTTCTGCAACTGTCATATGATCATGGTTATAAAAAGTCCAGGTGAAATGTCACCCGTGACACCAATCCTTGCAAGCTTGTTCGAGTTTGGAGTCTATTTATACTTCGAATCTTTGGACAGGGTTTGAGGCCTGGTATCACCAAGTACCTAGTTCTTAAGTAAGTTTGCTGGAAGACTAGTTATGGATAGTGTTTGTGATACACGATGTGCAAGAAAATGTGGAAACAAATAATCAAGTGTTGCTTCAGTAGTAGGTGTATCTGTGTTTTACTGAGCTGGCTCTTCAACATTAGAGGCCTAGTAGTGTTCAAGTCATTTGTTTAAGATGATAAAAGCAAAGTTGCCCATGTAATTTACTCTGTCTAGAGATGTCTGGTACCTACTAAATAAATGTCATGCATCTTGTGTTCACTTCTAATACACAAGCCTTGTTTTTATATCAGTGAAAGTGATGAATGCTTAAAAATGACTGAAATCTGAATGGAATTCACCTTAAATTCCTAATATAGCTAGCCCTAATTTGACATGATCAGATTTTTTTTTTTGCTTTAATTCCTGTTCTTATCTTCAACACTAATAAACAACTAATAATGTACACATTATACATCACATTCTCTACTCATTTTACCAAGCTTCAACTAGCAGAGTCTAGGGTGATCCTTGCAATGCTAAAAATGACACTTTTGGATATCTGAGACGTGTGGTTGGCTTTGATTGATGCCATCAGGAGGCATTCAATTCAAGCATTAATATAGGAACTAAATTTGTTTGAATTAATTGTGGATTAGAGGATGTAAGATGTGGAGTATTGCATATAGGTGCTCCTCTGTTTTCCACCCTTTAAAAATCTCCTAGACTATTAGTGCATTCATTTAGGAAGTTTCTCATTGTAATACTACATTTTATTTACAATTATTAGGACAAAAACATATTGTTCGGCTCGCGGAGAAGCGCTAGTTCCGCTTTCCAGGTGAGTGGAAAGTAGGAGTGGATGTCGGGTGTGCCAGGAACTGCTGTCGTTCCAAAGTGAGTATCCGAACAACTATCCAGTAGGAAATTGCAGGATCAGGCGATTGAATGAAGGACTGGAATTACCACCTTCAAGGGTTCTTTTTGCCTTGAAAAAGGACTTTTGGACTGAACTATGGCTAGTGGAAAAGAAAGCGGTATTGAAAGTGCAGGACTTCAAAGTAAAGGAATTGAAGTGCAGGACTTGGAAAGTAAGAAAGATAAGTGCAGGACTTGAATTAAACATAATGAAATTGCATTACATGAATGTAAAGATATTGAAAGTGCTGTTTTGCTGTGTGATTTGAACATGGTTTGCAAGTGAAGCCTAAGTGTTCTATTTATAGAATTCTCCATGCATGCAACAACTTGGTGTGGCAGCTTCAGCAGCTTCCATGTGGAATAGTTCCGAACTGCCACATGTCCCATGATTCCTCAACGGTTGTAACTTCTCCCATCTTAACCATCTTCTATTGTAGACTTCAACCACGTCCTCTCTAGTCTTCAACGAATTTGTGTCATGGGTAGTTTCAAAATGATCTCCACGTGTTCTTTTCATAACTTGGCAAGTGTCCCATGATTTTTTATTCTTTTCCTCACGTTGTCAACTCATTTTCTAAACTTCAGACACGATTTCATCAACTGCTGCCCTGTTACCCATGACCCTTAATAACTTCCCTTGGTTAATGGTAGTTTCCTTATAGGTTTCCACCACTTTCAACCGATATATTCCTGTTTAGCCAAGTGTTCCATGATTTCTAGTAATCCTTTACTTCTGCTAGAACCTTCCTTACATGGCGTCATGGTTTCCAACTTCTGATAAAACTCCTCATCGTGCATAACTTCCATCTTGAGACTTTCCTTCTGAAGTTTAGAGTTCATGGGCCATGACCTCCTAGATTTTAGGAACTGCTCCATCGTGAGTTTATATCCAACCCACTTTTTTTCCTTTCATAGACCACGGTTTCCTTGATTTTAGGCTGAACCTTTCATGGCGTCATGGTCACCGAGTTTACATCGTGGGTTATGGTTATTGCTCTCTTCCTTAATTTTAGCAACTTTTCTTCAACCTTGACTTCCTCTGGATTTAGACTTCATGGCTTCATGGACTCCCTTCTCACGGTGATTCCTTCATCGTGGGTTTAAGCCTAATATATATATATATGTATATATATAAAAATAAATTAAATCCCACGTTTCGCTAAATAGAAGTTGACTTAGCTTAACCATTGTTGAAATCTCCTAAAAATAAGTAGAAGGTTGCCTCCATGTCCTCATGACTTAGTCAACTTTTATTTAATTGGTATCCTACTAAAATAGGATCTTCCAAATAAATTCAACTTTAACAAAATTAATCCATCGTGGCAAGTTTAATAAAGCTCGCCATGTGTCGATAAATTATTGGTTGGCTAACTTTAACCTTCTTATGATAATAACTCCACGCCGTTTTCTTTTCCTTTTAGGACATTATATCCTAAATTTGGTAAGTCCAAAAGGGACTCGCCACTTGTCTTTTAATTTCCATAATTTAAATATTCCAAGGTGGAATATTTATCAATATTGTAGTTTAACATGGCAAGTTCCATTGGAACTTACCACGTACCTCTTTTCTATTTAAGGAACCACATTAACAATTCCATGTCACACCATCTTTTTCTTGAACAATTAAAACGTTAAATCAATATGGTAAGTTTTGTCAAAACTCGCCACTTGTCTCTTTTCCATTGGGTAAAAATAATGGAATAAACATATGCCCCCCAAATTCCCTGCCTTGTAAAACAATTTGAAAATAAGGCATGAGATTTGATTTCCGCCATCAGAATACCATCATGGTCGCTTGATTTTCTAGCCCTAACCACAACTAATTTCGCGGCTTCCATCATATTAATTTCCTTTAATCACCAATCTTCTAGATGACTCAGTTGGACTGGGTCCAGCTTTTGCCAATGTGGCTCCCTCTGAAATAGCTGAATTCTACCCTTCTAGTAAGTTTCCACTTCCTTTTGATTCAGAGTTCCCTTTTGTTTCAAAGAAAGGGAAAAAAGTTAAACTCTCATTCAACATAAGAAACTGGCCAATAGATCGTTCATCTTGGTCTTCATGGGTGAGTCGTCTTTCCAAAGACGAGAAAATTTCTTCACAGTGGAAGAAACAAGGCATCTATGACATTATCCAAATCAGTAAGTCCTCCATAACACTCGATCCAACCCTCCTCTTTCCAGCCCTTTTCTTTTGGTCTTCAACCACCAATTCTATGCATCTTAAATGTGGAATGACGTCTCCCACTTTGAGAGATATTTGTTGCATCACAGGTCTTAAGCCTCATGGAGATGACGTAAGTGCCACTCTCTTTGTTGAGCAATTCCTCTTTCCAACCAAGACCACTGGAAGTAAGAAGTTCATTTCCTCTCATCTTCCTTTTATTAAACACTGTAAGCAAACTGGCCCAGTTCTAGAAGATGAGCACATTGCTTTCCTGATTTGTTGGTTCTCTAGCCACTTGCTATGCGTTCCATATGGCCAAATCACCAAAGACTTTGTTCAAGTGGCAGTTTCCCTAGCCAGAAATGGAGACTTAACATTAGCTCCCCTTGTACTTTCTCATTTATATAGAGGTCTTCACGATCTCCTTACTTCTGGGTTTTCAAGGTTCCAAGGCCCCTTCGGGTTGTTCCAAATGTGGCTTAAAGTGTACTTCTAAAACAGAACTTCACCCCTAGTCACTCCAACTGGAAAATCCCTTCTGTGCCATTCTCACCAAGAAACATTCTGAAGATTGGAAAAATATTTGGGCCAGCTTCCTTATTGCTCGTGACCTCCATTACAACACTGCTCAACCAACTTTGAAGAATAGTTTCAGTGGAGTTGAGTTCTACAACCTAGCCCAACTAGCAAAACAAATGGGCTTTACCCAAATGATTCCTTTGCCACCCTGCAAATCTTACAATAGGTTCTTTGACCAACGTGTTCGTCTTACAGATACTGAACAATTTGCAGCGATTGACCAAGCCTATGCAACAGAAAGGGCAACTTTTAATTTCAAAGGCCATACTAGCAAGCCTCAATCAACCAATGAATTCGATGTATGGTGGTCAACTTATATCTCCTCCACCCGAGCCAAGAATCATAAGGCTGTCTGTGATTCCATACTGGCATCTTTCAAGCCTCTGTCTCCAGGTATTAATGTATTTACTGTAAATTCCATTCCCTTTTGAAATCCATCAACCTTCCATATGCTGAGACTTGGTTAATTTCAGATGAAGAAGAGGAAATGTGGAGAAAAAGAAGAAGGTAGAGAGAAAACCACCATAATGGCTAGTAAAATTGAAGGTGTAGCTGAAAGTGATGATGTAGATATTGAAAGTCTTTCCTCAAGTGATGATGAAGAAGAGGAAGAAGAATTGGAAGAGGAAGAGGAGGATGCTTTATACAAGGCAAAGGGAAAAAGAAAAACTTCTCAGGTATTTCAATGTGGCCGAGCTTAACCGTTCCATATTTTGGACCTTACTTATACTTCCTCTTGCAGGGACTGGCTATTGTCAAAAAAGAATTTCAGGCCCAACTATCCTCTTCTGATGAAGATTCTTCTGATGGTGAAGTTGGCATTTCTAAAGGGCGAACCACTACTCAACATTCTAGTAAAGCCCTAAAAACACGTAGCCCTTCCGGAAAAGTTATTAGATGGCTAAAAGAAAAATCATGCCTGAACTGGAAAAAACAGAAGAGTTCAAACAAACCGGAGACTCACCAAAACACAAGAAACCAAAGTCATCCAAAGAGCTTGTTTTGGTAAGTCCCAATCCCTATCCTTGTCAATCTCATTACTTTATATTTTAAAATATTTGTAACTTCAACTTGACCAATAGGGCTCTACTATGGGACACAATTTCATGAATATCCACCTGGATCAATAAGTTGCACAAGGAGAGGATTTGGCCCTTCAAGCTTCAATTATGGAAAGTTTGACCATAAAGAATGAGAAAAGTCAACCCATTCCAACTTCCACTATTGGAGTATCCATTCCTTCCGGAACTGGTGGAACTTCTACTGGTCATACTCTTTCCATCGCAGAGGCAAGTCTTCATTCCTTTACACTTCGCCTCCTTTCTTTCTTTCTATCTAATAGAAACTTGTTTCCATTTCAGGCAACTCCTTCCTTATCTACCTCAACCTCCTTTATGATGCAGAGGAGAGCCCTTCCAGCCTTCGCTGATCTTTACAAAGTGATCAAGGCCACTAAATCTTCCAGTACTTCTACTTCAAGTGCAAGTGTCCTCACACTTCCAGGACCGTTAAATGATGCTATCATGGTGGCTAAAGAAAAGTTGTTGTCTTATCTTGCCCACGATGTGGAAGATGTAGTCTCTTTCCATTCAAGTCTAGCCAGTACTATTGTGACCTTCAAAAAACATCCGGAATTTCCTGATTCCATCG